GGGGCGGGGCGGGGCGGGCAGCACTCCTGCAGGTTTCAGTTACTTTGGATGTTAGGACTAGGGTAGGCTTTGGCCTCATTTTCCCCTCTGGGCTCCCCATGACTTTGAGGGGTATCTTTCTTACTGTTGCTTCCTGGCTTGATCCAAATGCCAATGTAGGCTTACTTTGGCTTTCTGCTGTTTCTCTGAGGCTCTTAATGAGTCCACTTTGCTGTTTGCCAGCCGGTTCACTTTGTCATCTCCTCTCTGCCAGTGTTGATGCCTTTAACAAGGCAGAGTGAGATGTGATTCTCCAAGAGACCCTTCCAGTCATTTACTTCTGAATCCCCTTAAGGGAGTGTTGGAGGTGCAGGGTTTCACTGGGAAAAGCAATATGCCACTAGACTGGATGCTGCTGCTTTAAACTGGCATTGATTCCAGTTCCTTTGATTTGGAGAATGACACCCCACCCCCACCTCATCCCACCTTCCTCTTCACAACTTCAGAAACCTGGAGTTCTGCCAAAGCCAGAGATGGAAATGGGTCTGTGATGGACAGGACCGAGGTTAGTGGAACAGTCTGGGCTGCCTCCTGATGACCGTAAGTAAAGAGAATGACGCCTCACTTTGTTCTCATGGGTATGAGGGGAGGGGAGAGAAAAAAATAAGATCAAAGCTTTCCTTCGGCAGGAGGGGGCGATTTCTCAACTGATGGACAAACCGATGGCTAACAGCAGGGAGGACACACTTGTTTTGGTCCGTTTAGGAATGAGAGAGGTACCACATAAGCTTGTCTTTGCTTACTGTAGGAGACGGTGAGGGAGATACTAAGGGGGCAGTGAGATGTGTGCTAGATTTACTTGGAATAAGCAGACTTAGGCATTTGAGCCCTGACTTTGCTGCCTACAGGGAACTGTGTGTTTTCTGGGACCTTGGTTTTCTGGAGGGTAGGAATTGTGGTGCCTTGAAGGCCATAAGAAAAGATGGGGAAGGAAGAAAACATTCCAAGTTTAAGAAGCAGCATGAGCCAAGGTAGGGAACTTGGAGGTCTTCACTGGAGTCTATCAGTTTGGTTGGAGTATAAATAGAAATTAAAATGCCGAGCATTAAGTCTCTACGTATCCTCAGCATTGCCCCATCCTAAGGCCGAGGCATAGCAAACTAAAGACAAGTCCTGAGTTCGTGCTTAGCCAGTTCTGCTACCAGAAGTGTGTGTGTGTTAAGTAAATCCTGTGCTGGTGCTCGCATTTTCTCTTGGCACCCTGGGATACCTCTGGTCTAAGTAGTAAGTAGCAGCTCAGAATCTAGAGCTTTCTAGGTTGCAGAGACGACGGACTCCAGGAACCTCTAACTGAGGAGATTGCTCTTGGTCTGGGGCTAGGCTGGGCCAGGAGCATTTGTGACAGATCTCTCCAACACTTCTAGGATGGAAAGCAATACTGGATGGAGACCACTGTGTGTGCGTGTACACCCATGCAAGCTGAGCCCAGGCCTGGAACCCTCGGGCAGGCACACAGTGAGATGGGGTGGGGATGTGTGCATGTGATAAAGGTTAGTGAGCAAACTCCCTCTGCCAAGAAGTCGGTACCTTCTCTGCAACTTACAGAGTATAGAGAGGATAAGTCACTTGCTCAGGATCACACAGTAGGTATGCATCAGCGGTGAGACTCGAACCCAGGTCTTCCTGGCTCCTAGGCCAACTTTTTATTTGTTACCTTTCCAACCCATGGTGAGGGAACCTATGATGCCCTTCTAACTGGCAAACCTAATGTGATAGCACTGAACATTCGGTTGGGGCTAGGTAGGCCAGACCTGAGCCATTCAGGTGCTGCTAGTGACAATGTGAACTGACCCAGTCTTTTGGTAGGCAAGTGTTTATTTATGTAGGCCAGCTTGGTGACCTGCTTGTACCCTTGCACTGGTGAGATCATGAAAAATCAAGACAAAAGCTTTCTGCTGCATCATGAAGTTTATTGCTATACTACTTCACTGTCTGATAAAAACAGAAACAATGAGTTGAACAATGCAAATGAATTCAGTTCCACATGCATCTCATAGACGCATACTCAGTGCTAGCTTCTGGAGGTACAAAGCCAAAATTGGAAGGCTGACTTCTCCAGGAGCTTCTATTCTACAGGGAGATAACTATGCAATATCGCTGTAACAGACTCCTCATACTGCCAGAAAGAATGACACATTTGTGGACTTGTAAGGGAGAGACCGAGTTTTAGAAAAGCGGAACTTGATGGACGTGGCGGGAAGTTATTGGGGCAATCATGTCCTCCAATAGCCTTCTTCTCCTGTCCTGGGGGCTTGAGCACTTTTCTACACGCACACACATCTGGGTCCTTTAAGGATCCACGAGGGCCACTGTGGTCTGCAGGCTTTACAGACTGTACCCATCTCTCTCTTTTTTTGTTTCTAAAAAGAAAGGAAAAGAAAAAATGAGTGTTTGATCCCAGGTACTGAAAACAGATTAGATTTCAATTGAAGTTTAGTTTAACGTTCATGGATTTTGATCAGATAACAACAGTTGAGGATTTAGAGATGATTACCTCATTTTACAAATGAAGGAACAGAGATCAAAAGATAGTGAATAACTTACTCAGGGTTGCTCTAGGGCCAGTAACTCTGTCGCTGAAGTCCAAATAAAGAAGGGAACTTAATCTCAACCATACACATGAAAAGATAAAGATCTAAATGAAGCCTTCAGTGGCCTCCAGAGCTCATGACTGGGCACATTTCAACTTCCCACACCTTCTTATCTTGGGGGATTCTGCATTTCCATGCCTGCACGTCAACAAGAGAAACCACATGTAGATTTAGACAGCCCTCATTCTTAGTATCTGATTCAGTGGTATCAGGAAATTGGACTCAATGATCTCTTAAGGTCCCTTTCAGTAGGTTTTAAATGAAAGGAAGCCCCAGGTGGTACCTGTGAGTTAGTGACAGAAACTGTGACCTCCCAGATTTAGGCCACAGGAAAAGCAAACCTTTATTGATAATTTTGCTTTGTTTACATGGTTACTTCTATATCATAAAAAAACACAAGGGACACACTGGAGTCAAAAGATCTGTATTCGAATCTCAGCTCTGCTCCTTACTACTGGTGTGCCTGAGCAGATCTTTTCTCAACCGTATAATGGGGGTAGGGAGACTAGATGCCCTCCAGGGTTCCTTCCAGATCTATGTTTTCTGATGAAAGATAAGATAATCAGACCTTCATCAGGTCCCATCTGGAATCCGGTGGTTCAGTTCTCATTCAGCACTGCATTTTGGGAAAGATGTTAAGCTAGTCCTTCAGGATGGAGGTGAAACTTGAAATCACCTTGATGAAAAGCAAATGAAGGAGCTGGGAATGTTTAGTCAGGAGGCCAGAAGACTTGAGGGAGATGTGACTTCTGTCTTCAACAGATGGAGGCAGAGGCTGCAAAAAGAAAAAAACACCAACAGTAAGGCAGGACATAGAGGCCACAACAAGACACAAACGATAGCAGGTAAAGGATAGAAATCGCCCCCCTCCCCCTAAAAAAACAACAAAAAAAAGAGAGGACAGAAGCTGTAAACAAGACTGGAGGCAAAGGCTGTATCTCCTTCCCCAAAGGAAAGGCACAGGCGGTATTTCCCAAAAGCCCAGACGGGTATGGCACAGGCGATATTTCCCAAAAGTCCAGACGGGTGTGGCACGGGCCTTATTTCCCAAAAGCCCAGACGGTGTGGCACGGGCGGTATTTCCCAAAAGCCAAAACAGTGTGGTACCAAAAGCCCAAACGGTGTGGCACAGGCGGTATTTCCCAAAAGCCCAGACGGTGTGGCA